CTTTAAAGCTGATTTTGTTAGCTATATTGGACAATTAATATTTTCTTGGTCAGGTGCCGTGACTGAAGTTGCCTTTCTATAGGGATAATTTATTTTATCTTTTTTTAATAGAAACTTTGGCTTAATATTTTAATAGCTTAAGTGAATATGATCACTATATTTGAATTAAAAGGTATATTAATTTTGTTTTCAAATTAAACTTCAGAACATAATATGTACTTTCAATAATAAACTACGTTAGTTTCATTATGTGCTATATGAACATAAGAGAGTGGCTTGCCTAACGTTTTTCAAGATTTGCTCTCTCTTATGTTAAAGTTTTTTATAAGAATTTTTCATCAACATGAATGCAGCTGCAACAATAATGACACAGGGTTTAACATTTTATAAAGCATATTCTGAGGTTTCCAAGTAATAGGAAAAGCGTGGACTAGAAATAGAGTCTATTAAAACTAAGTGTAATTTCCATCTCTACAACTTGTTTGCTCTGTGATTTGGAGTAACTTAATTTCTGTGAACTGCAGTTTCCTTATCTGTATAATGGGTACAAATTCCTACCTCACATAGTATTGTCTGAATTAAATGGGATAGTAGGCAATCTATAATGGTTATGTTTCTGTCTTTCAAAGATTTTATCTCATTTAAGTTGCACAACAGTCCCATTGGAAGATGATTGTTTCAGTCAAATGCTTTAACAAATAATCCTCAAATTTTAGTGGATTACAACCACAGACATATGCCAAATGTATCAGCAGTTGTGCACTGACTGATACATTTCCATGTCTCTTCTCTTTCTGGGACTCAGGCTCAAGACTTGGCCATTGTTTAGGACAGCTATTCTCCTGGAGTGGGAAAAGCAAGAAACAGACCAAACTTCTGCTTGAACATGGCCTATGGCACCCCTGCTCACATTCTATTGGCGAAAGCATGACACATGATAGAGCCTAAGAGTGGTGCAGGGATGTGTACTCTGACTACAGGGTCCTTCAAGACATGCTTCAATATGTCAATGGAGAGGAAAAGGGGAAACAATTGGAAATAATGTAATATACCTCAATGGTATTACCAATCAGGGAATACTCAGTGAAGTAACGGCCTTTTTCAGAAAGTTCTAAAGTCGAGTGATGGGGATAACTGATCCCTTAGCCTTCCAACGTAATCCAAAATGAGGTAAATAAATGATGATAATAAAAATTAAAAAGAAAACTTATTGGAGCGTTTATATCATGCAAAGCTTTATAAAGGCTATTTTTGTGTGCATGTGAATATGGTATAGTTGGGGGGCATATGTATATTAATTTTATGTATGTGTAATTTATAGATGAGCTAGTTAATTATGAACTTATTTGTACATCTATTAAGACTAAATGAAAAATATATCTATTTGTAATCTGGAAAATAGGCTCTTCCCATATATAAAGAACAGTTTATTTCAGAGTTTAAAATATAATAAGATTAACTTTTAAATTGAGTTGAAAAAAAGAGTAAGTTACAGATAAATTGAGTTACTAGAATGGTTTCACTTTTTAAAACTGAATTAGGGGCTTTGAAATTAATTTATTTTTGAACAAAATGTGCTCAATGTAAGTTTTGTTTATTAATTTGTCTTTGGACTGACTTTTGAATGAAAAACAAAGTTATTTTAAAATTTTATTTTCACATTTATAGCCCTGCATCAAACTTTTCTCTGCAATAAATATGAATTATACACGGCTTGCAGGCAGAAGTTCCATCTGCACATTGATTCACATTGCATGGATTCTTACTGCAGTAGGCATTAAGTCCTCTAAACCAATTACTTATTAGAGATATTTAATTCATTTTAATCTTTAATTACATGCTTTTGATTAATGGTAGAAATAATCCTAAATTATAGCCTCAATATTCTACTTTAGTTAATGGGAAACATTCCAGACAATTTGAGAGACTTCCTTACATATCTATTGTTTTAGTTTCAAAAAAAAAAAAAAATCAGAAGTATGAAAAGGCAAGCAATTCTATTTGAAGACTGAATCATTAAGAATTCTGAAAGAAGGCTAATACCTTGAGATTGTAGTGGTTAGAAACATGGGCCCTGAATCAGACAGACCTGCCTCATTTCTAATCTTAATCCACAGTTTTCTCTATTTGTGTTTGGGGAAGTTTGCATAGTCTTTATTAGACTCAGGTTCCTCATCTGAAAAATAGGATAATGATAGGGTTACTCTGATAATTAAATTAGAACTAATGTGCCTAGCAGACAGTGTTCCTCATTAAAGTATAGCTTTTATATTATGCACCATTTAACAGATTACATGATATTCAAACATACAGATTACTGACAAAGAATCACTAATATACACGTGTAAGATGCTTAAATATATTTTGAATACATAAATGAAAGTATTATTGAATTCCTACTTTATCCCAAGCGCTCTGTTAGCCACTGGGATTATAGAGATGTACAAAAACAGGAATGGTCCCTAGCCTAATGGTAAAGGCATCAAGAGTTGTAGTGCTCTGCAATAAACGCATACCATAGACCGTTGCAGTACAATGATTTAACATTTTGGCGTGGTCCTCAGAGGATCATACTACATAAAACTCTGAGGTATTGCTAGGAAACTACTATGAATTTTACTCACTCTAAGGCTCATATGTGGAAATGAGTCACTGAGCTAGTGAATGAGTGTAGGTCTATGTCAAGCACATGCTTCAATTTTGCTTTATTGTGCAATTTTAGCTGAGTGCTGGGCGATTGTTACTATAGTAGTAATTAATGCAATGTAGTACTATAAGAGTGATATAATGCAATGATCTATGTATTATGTATCTATTCCTGTGTAACAATTTTCCTCTTAAATGTAGCAGCTTAAAGCAACAATGAACATTTATTATTAATATTATTTCACACAGTTTCTGTGAGTCAGGAATAATTAGAGCTGTTTAACTGACTCAAGGTCTCTCATGAGGTTCTAGTCAAGATGTCAACCAGGGCTGAAGGCTCCACTGGAACTGGAAGATCCACTTCTTAGATGGTGCATTCACATGTCTAGCAAGTTAGCACTGGTTGTAGGAGAGAGGCCTTACTTCCTTGTTATGTGGGCCACACCCTAGGGAAGCTTGAGTATCTTTACATCATAGTATTTCCCCAGAATTAAATGATCCCTAAGGCCTCAAGGCAGAAGCCACGTGGACTTTTATGACCTAACCTTAGAAGTCACACTCTATCATTTATGCAATACCTCATGCTTATATAGGTCAGCCATATGAAATGAAGGAGGTGACTAAATAGGAGAATTAATAACAAGAAGTGAGAATAATTGGGCCCACCTTACAGACTGGCTATGATAGTAAAAATAAAAATAAGAACTACATGTGTATAGTGCACTGAGATGAACTGGAAGGTAAAGTAAAAAAATGAGGTTTGGTGAACATATTTTTTTATATATATATTATATAACTTTGGTTAGAATTATAAAAGTAATAGGACAAATATGAAATATTGAATTAGGTAAAACTTATAAATAAAATTTGTTTAAGTTATTATTAATGAGAAACTTGAACTTCCCTTTGAGTACAAAACTATTTTTGAGAACCAGTTCTGTACTTGAAATGGTTACATGAAATTTCTGATCAAGACTTTTTTATGATGATATCTTCAAATTCTTGATAAGCATCTTTAACAAGAAACTTCATTCACATACGTAGATAATAAAAGAATTAAAATAATTTTATACCCATTTAAAAATTATATCAAGTTATGTTTAAAGATTTTAACAGCTTTCTTTTCAATTTATTGTGATAATGTGAATGGATTTAAAATCCAATGAAATTTTTTCCAAGTGCTTCAAAATAATGATGAAATTCTAATTTACAAAATGCACTGCATTGTTGGATTAGGGATCCTACAACAAGCTCGGATGAGTATTAAAAAAATCAAACAAATGCCTCTAAAAAACACATCAGACAATGGACAGATGAATCAGTATATAAGAGGACTTAGAGTTCAGCCTGCTGGCTATAGTTGTGGACATCAGGATCCCCTGCTTGCCATCCGGCTGCACAGTCCTCTCTACAGACTGCACTTTGACTATGCACCAGGCTCCATGAGAAGCTTGATAGTGCACCTTGTCCATATGAGGAGGCCCACATTCTGCTTCCAGCCAGCTGCTGAGATAGAGGTCCAGGTGATAGTTCATGTCCTTGGCCAAGTCAACACATCATGGTGGAGCAGCAGATGCTAGATATTTTTCACCATTTTCACTGCCAGTAAGGACCACAGGCTTTACAATTTCACTCAGTAGTTCGTCTCAGGACTACCTTCTACAGAAGCCTAAAGATTCTGCTTACAAGTGGAAGTCACCATCCCAGTGGCTCTGTCCAACTAGGCGTTGGTTGGCTCCACTTCTACCCCCAACCATATGGGATCCCAATTTCTTGCCAAACCTACAACTCATTCATAGCACATGAGTAACGTATTTTAAGAGTCTGATAAATGAATTTCAGCCTATAATCTAATCCTGGCATCTTTCAAGTTCAGAAAGCATCTCAAACTTTTCAGTAATACTTATTGCATTTTAGGAATGAAATTATATTTAACAGCAATTTATACTAATTTGTATATTTGCTGATATATTAAGATGTGCTTCTTGAGAACATTTTATGCAGTGGTTTTCTAACTTGGCTGATCATGAAACTCATCTGGGAAGCTTTGTTTGTATGATTTAAAAATACTAATGATTAAGTAGGCATTGTTAGTTATGACTCTTATAATAGGAAGTATCAATAATTCAATTTAAATTAAAAATCCGGGATTACTTCAGATATAGAAGAAGCCAGGAGCACCAAAAATGACATCAGACTATTCACTGGCACTCTGCATTTCTCTCTGCTGGCTCTGTTTGTAGGCAGCAGCAGGCTTTCTTCCTATCTTCATAGTATGCTTAGCATGTAGAGAGTGTGTCTTTCCTAACAGCTCCATCAAAGGGCTCAGTATTGAGTCTCATTGCCCTGTTGTTGAGCCAGGCAATGTGGTCAGTGGAGAGGAATGCTCTGACTGGCCAGAACTGTGTTACGTGCCTACTCATGTAGTAAAGGGTATTGAGCCAATTCCATTCAAACCACATTGGTGAGATATGGGAGAGGCATGACTCCTCAAAGGAAAAATGGGATACTATAATCAGAAGGGGAGATAAATAACTGGCAACCCTTCTACTCTCCCCACCCCCAAATCCATTATATCTGCTTGCCTGAATTTCAAAGGAGTAGGGCTTTGAATCTTTATTTTCAAAGAGTTCCCCAGGAGTTTAGGAACACTGGTCTACTGTATGTCATAGCCTTTATCATTTCTAGATAGATAGGATAGCAGATAGAAAACTAATTGGATCATTAATCCCTAATAAAACTCAGTAGATAGCCTGAGCTTCAAATTCACAGCAGTTAGATCACCAGAAAGTGTGTGAAGAACATGTCTCAATTTGCTGTGAATTGTAGTGTAAGAAATTCATAGTGTCATTCAGCGTGAATATCCACCGGAAAAATTCCTGTTAATATCATTTCTTGATGAGTTGATGTGCTTCTTTCCATGGGATCATGGAGATTGCTTATCCAATTATCTTTGGCTCTTTACTCTGGATGCAAGGAAACTCAAAGGAAAAGTTATTGTTTTGCCATGGTAATAATAGTAGTCTTTGTGACTATTATATCTTTTCTCTCCTTCTTCATGACTTTGTTTTTCAATGTCTAATTTTACAATAATGATGTGAGCCACATTAAATCATATTGGGAGGAGAAATTAGAAAAATTTCATAATTAGAAAAATAATTCATAAAAATATAACATTACATATAGCCATATATGTGTGTATGTGTAAATATACATATATATTTGTTGTTAGTGCCTTGGAGTCAATTCCAACTCCTAGAGACCCTGTGTACAGAAGAGGGGAACCCTACCTAGTCTTTTTGTGCCATCCTCTCACCTTCTGGTGCTATATCAGACAATGCTCCGCTGCTATTCATAGGGTTTTCATGGCCAAGTTTTTTGGGAGTGGGTGGCCAAGTCCTTCTTCCTAGTCTATCTGAGTCTGGAAGCTCTGCTGAAACCTGTCCACCATGGGTGACCCTGCTGGTATTTGAAATACTGGTGGCATAGCTTTCAGCATCACAGCAACACACACCTGACACAGTATGAAAACTCCCAGAAGACAGACAGATGGTGTAGTTCCCTTACCGGGAAATGAACCCAGGCCATGGCGGTGAGAGCACCGAATCTTAACCACTAGACCTCCAGGGCTAGTAAAAGATATATATATATAAGAGGTGACTGTCGTTCAAAATAGTTGACAAATAATACTGATAATTAAGATATATGTAAATAACTTCAAACAATATGGAATATCTCAAGGAGTATAAGAGTGTCTGTTTATTAAGAATAACAACAAAACTTGACAGACAACTTGGTAGAGCTAATTTGGCTATTATTTTTGGATAGATTGAATATACTAGTCAGAGGTATTTCTACTTCGGTCTCCAGCTTAAACTAGATTTCTCAAATGATTAGTGACAGTGTAGCTAATGAAGAGATAGCTCAGAACTGGGGCAGGTGACCTTCTCTTGACTTTTGGCCCTGCCATTTAACAGCTACTGTGTGTCCCTCAGCAAGTTCCTTTGGCCCTTTGAGCTTCTGTTTACCCATCAATCAAATTAAATCCTACACCTAACCTGTAGGATGGTTGTAAAGATTAAATGGAACAGTTTATATGAAACAATGGAAGCATCAATGCAAATATTAGTTATTGATATTATCGGCCTTAGAGATCCTCCTTATTACTTTAACTCTTCCATAGTAGATATTATATCCCCAAAATAGAGATAATATTTATCTTGCTAACTCACAGAAATTCAGAGAAGGCTATTAGCAAATATCTCTCAATATTTGGAAAGTCTCTAAGCACAATTTATCTCATGCTCTCTTCATTTTCCCAATTCTCAGCCACTAACCTGGGCCTGGAAGTAGACTCATGGCCTAAAATGAAAAGTTTTGAATTACCAACTCCTGTCTGATTTTGCTCTGCCCTGGGAAATCTGGCTTGTATTTTCCTCTTATTATTATATATTATTTATGAAAGAATTTTACATTATCTGATGCCACAAGCAAAGTTCAGGTTCACCCATGAAAGGACAAGAAAGGTGTTACTTTCTTGAGGCAGAAAACAGTAAGTATGTGACACACAGTAGTTAGCAGTAGGTTCAAATTAAATCCAAACTGAAACTGCACATAGGTTTAACAGACTTCAGTATTGAGAAATAGGCTGTTCATCTGTGTTAGCTGACTGTTGACACCAAGGACATTTGGTCCTTGGCCCAACTGTCCCTGAAGAACTAGGAATACAAGGAATGTTCAAAATACTCCCTCTGTTCCTGTCCCACACTGAAATTAAGGTAAATCATAATCTTTTCGAAACCAAAAATCCTAACATCTAACAAAGAAGTGAAAGATCGTACAGATGTGCTTCCTGTTGTAGCAAGATGGTACACTGTTCATTTGGATGATGTCTGTAAATAACAGTGAGAATGCAAATTTTTTTAAATAAGCATACTCAGCTGTAGCTATCCTTCAGCCTTTTTATCAGGATCACTTACAATAGATGGATTCTCCTCTTGGGACAGGGTCTCTCTCTGATCCAGAAAGAGTTGTAGAGCTAATTGGCTCTGAAGCATCTATGATATATCCTGGTGCATCAGTGGAAGTTGTCTTTCCAATTGTCTATTGTTTTTGTCAAGAATGGCCTACTTAGATTGTTGTTGATGATTCAAGTTCGTCTTTTGTTTAGGGCCTGGTCCTTAAGGAAATCACTTGGTATTCAAAGCAAACACTCATAACTGATGGGGATTCTGATGACAACTCACATCATCATGGGAGGCCTTTAGACACTTACTACAATGGCTTGCCAAATCTGTTTACATTTAATTAAGAAAATTCTCCTCAACGAGGAGAAAGTTGCTGAATGAGAAACTCAATTGTTTGGAAACTTGCATCCCTTCCAACAGACAATCAAAAGGAAACAAAATAGAAATACCATCTTGTTAAAGGGAAATGGTTTGCAAAGAAAAAAACCTACTGTATGATGATTGTGTGTTTCCCTCAAATACAAGTTTATATCTACAATTTTAAATGAAGTACTCAGTTGTTTTTACTTCATTTTAGGGCTAGTAGTGGCCTTCAGAGCTTAGCAGACATACCCTCTAATCTCCTCTAGGGTCCTAGTCTTCTCTTCCTCTCCTTCTCCTCCCCCCTTGCCTCCTTCTCTTCCTCCCTTCCTTCCTTCCTTTCTTCCTTTCTTTGTTTCTTGGAATGAACTTAGAACCAATGAATAAGATTCAAATTCTTCTGTGCTACATATTAATAACTTGAATTTAAATAAAACACTTGACTTCTTTCAAACTCAAGTTTTCTTATCTGAAAAATGCAGGTGATAATAATGATTATCTCAGAAAATTTGTGTGAGAATCAGATGAAATAATGAATATGAAAGGACTTTCTCCAAAACTATGAATCTTTATTATTAGTATCTAGTGAATTCTTTGAAGAAATAATCTCAATATTCATTAATTCTTGCTGTCATGTAGGCCTTTGTTTATCCCAAGGCAAATAGATTCTGGTTTATCCAGTTAAGCCAGTTTCCTACCATTCTGTCCTCAGAAATAAAACAACTGATGCCTAAAATCCTCCTTATCCTTTCCTTGGTTTTATTAAGGTTTATTATGTCATAGTGATAATAATATCTGTGTCACCATATCATCACCATTTTGATAACATATATTGAGTATTTACTGTGTGTTAAGTGTTGAACTACATAATGTAATTAATTCCTCCAACAACCATGACACAAGAACTATAAATAAAACCACTTTAGAAATGAGGAAATTGGAGTTTGAAGAACTTGCCCAAGTTCATACAACTGGTAAGTGGTAAAGCCAAGTTCATACCCAGTTCTGTTTGCCTGATGCTGTGCACACTGCCGGTCTTCAGTTGTTAAAAATGATTGTCATCTTTTTGACACTGTGTATGGGTTAGTCATAAGAGAAAGGGTTCTTAAGTGAGGGTCCATGGACCTCTAGGACATCCTTTGGATGGGCTTTGGGAATCTGAGAAATCTCTGAAATTGAATGCAACATGTTGTAGTAGGCGAGTAGCTTACAGATTCTCAAATTGGACTCCAAAATGCTAGGGCTTAAGAAGATACTCTAAATTACATCTAACAACTTTGATCTTTATCAAAGGGAACCCTTTCCCTAGACTCAGCATTGAGAACAATTGTCTTTCCAGCTACACCTGCAAACCTGGACCTGCAGTCCTGGGTGGAGAGCAGGAGGGCAGCAACCATCTTCCAAGGCTCATTCTCCTTTGAAGGGAACTTACTGGGCAAGATTATGGATATTTGAGACCATGGAACTGCCAGAAAAAGAAAAAAAAAAAAAATTTTCTCTGTGACATTGAACAGTTAGGAAAATGACTGCAGAAGCAGAGTCAGGGAAAGAAGTGTCTTCCAGACCCCTCAAATCACGCGGTTGATACCAGGTTAAAGAAAAATAGTGCAGTGGATACAGGTCAGGACTCTAGAGGCATAATGCTTAGGTTGGTGTCCTGTTTCTCCTCCTGAGTTAACTCTACAATTTATGAAGATTTTAACCTCCCATCACCTTGGTTCTCCTCTCTGACAAAAATGTTGAGCGAGAGGGGGGAATAACCATAGCTAATTTGTAGGATTGTTTTATGAATTAAATGAAATTATTTATATACATGCCTAGAATGGTACCTGGCACATATATTAATGTTAGCAATAATAATAATAATAATAATAATAATTTTTACATATAATTATATATAATTATTATATATAATAATAATAATTATTGTTATTATTAATGTGGACATAATTGAAACCCCATATATGAAAGAGTTATTCATAAACACAAGAAAATAACATTTATTACCATTAGTGTTCTTAGTGCCACATTTTCTTTTTAAGAGCATTTATAAATTGTTCCATTAAATACCTTAATTTTTAAATGAGTATTTTATATTTCTTTGGTGGTATATGACCACCATGAGGTGTTTTTTTTTGGCCATTTTTAGTCTTTACATGCATTTTTTCCCACTTTAATGCAGAGAATGGAGCGAGGGTAATTATCTCCTCATTTTCATTTTTACATAGCTATCACTCCATGCCAGGGGTTTTAGTAGTGCAAAATCTGTTTTATCTAAAATGGAATCCATTTAATAACACCAAGAACTTATTCCTATAATTGACTAACAATTGAAAGCAAACCTAGAAACAGAAAAGACAGAGTTACCTATACTAAGAGTCATGTGCATGACAATGGGAGTCTCTTTTCTTCAGTCTTGAAGGATTAAGAAGAGATTTTAAAATGTTAAGTGAATTTGTAATAGAAACAGTAGGAAAGGTATCATTTTATATTTGAGCTTCTACAAAAGCCTTAGGAAATAGCAGATGAGCCGTTTGGGTGTACATGGCTCATTTTTATTCTATCTTTTGTCTGGCAAATGAGAGTTCCTAAAAGAGAGCTTTCTTCTAAGCTAAAGCATTTGAATTAACCTCGGAAAGAGGTTAAATGGCTGAATCAGATTAACCCTGCCTCTGAGTTGTTTCTTGGGCTGCATTTTCTTTCCCTGCCACTAGAATATCTTGGCAGCCTCTTGGTTTCCAAACGGGGCTGCAGAAAAGTTTAGTTTCCCTAGAGATCAAATGCATTGAGTGCCCAGGAAAATAATGTACATGATTGAAGCTAGTCAAGCAAAGACAATAGGAAGTAGTGAGAGCCAAGGTCAACTTGAGACAGCATGGTCTATCTAAAGGAGAGCGCTCAGCTCTCTGCTCCAATTCCTTGTTGACTGATGCTTGGATTTTAAGAGGATTTGAAAACCTTGATTTTTTATCTGAAATCTCCTAGTTTAAAAAAACAGTCCAGGGGCCGGCCCAGTGGCGTAGTGGTTAAGTTCACTTGCTCCGCTTTGGTGGCCCGGGGTTCACAGATTCAGATCCCAGGCACGGACCTATGCACTGCTTATCAAGCCATGCTGTGGTGGCATCCCGTATATAAAAATAGAGGAAGGTGGGCACCGATGTCAGGACCAATCTTCCTTAGCAAAAAGAGGAAGATTGGCAACAGATGTTAGCTCAGGGCTAATCTTCCTCACCAAAAACAAACAAACAAAAAACAGTCCATTGTTATTCCAAACACACATAAAAGCAGAAGACAGTATTTAAATGAAACTCCATATACCTATCACTGAGCTTCAGAATTTATCAATTCATCCTCTTTCTTGTCCCTCTCCTTCTCTCTGCCTTCATTGTTTTGAAGCAAACCCTTGATATCTTATTATTTCATCTGTAATAATTTCAGCAGATTTCTCTAAATGCCAGGGACTTTCTTTAAAAAACATAATCAAAACATCATAATCCCTAAACATCATCAAATATGTAGTCAGTGTTCAAGTTTTCCTAATATTTTCATAATGCATATCTATTTTTCTGTTTTCCCTCTCTTTTAAGAGTTTAACTGAGAGCTAAATAAAAGCAATACATTGTAATTGGTTGCTATGAGTCTTAAGTCTTTTATTTATTTATTTATTGGAGAGGAAGATTCGCCCTGAGCTAACATCCGTTGCCAATCTTCCTCTGTTTTGTATGTGGGATGCCTCCATGGCATGGCTGATAAGTGGAGTAGGTCCACCCCTGGCATCCGAACTCGTGAACCTCAGGCCGCCAAAGCGGAGCACGTCGAACTTTAACCACTTGGTCAAGGGGGCAGCCCCAAGTCTTTTATTTTTTAATCTATTAATACACCCTTCCTTTTCTTATTTGTTTATTTTTCTCGTAATGAATTTGTGGAAGAAACTGCATTGTTTTTCCTGTATTTTTTTGAATATTTTCAAGTATTTTCCCACTTTGGGTTTTGCTCCTTGTGGTGTTAATATGTTTGTCTCTCCCTTGAATTTTCAGTATATTGATAATTATATATAAAAATTTAATCAAATTCTAGTAGTTTTTTTCCCCCCCCAAGAATATGTGTACAACCATTGTGATTTTGTGTATTTCCATTTGGATGCATATGAGGTCTGGATGCCTATCCTTTGGTAATATTACATCCCTGATAATCATTGCCTTAATCTGTTAATTTACTAGAGGATTAAAACAAGCAAACAAACAAACAAAAACTCTGGGTACTATCATCACTAGCTAATGACTGCTCTAGACTTTCTTGCTTGCCTTGAACTTGGAGAGGGAGTAGACACACTTTGACTCAGTGTGTTTAAATCAGAGAAATTAGCATATCTTTTTTTTTTTTTTGCCTGAGGAAGATTCACCCTGAGCTAATATCTATTTCCAATCTTCTTTTTGCTTGAGAAAGATTCGCCCTGAGCTAACATCTGTGCCAATCTTCCTCTATTTTGTATGTGGGTTGCTGCCACAGCATGGCCGATGACAAGTGGTATAGGTCTGTGCCCAGGAACCAAACCTGTGCCACCAAAGTGGAGTGTGCCAAGCTTAACCACTAGGCCACAGGGCTGGCCCCTAGCATACCTTTAAAACACTTAGTATTAGCTAAGATTTTACTTTATTTACTGTGTTCTACCTCAAGTCACTTATCAGATATTTATTGAATACTTATCTGTTTCCCTTCCTTTACTGTAAGCTCCTTAAGGAGAGGATCTGTATCACATTCAACCATTGTATCCTCAACATCTAGAAGTGACATCTAAAACACTGTAGAGTCTCGGTAAATATTTGATGGGTAGATGGATGTATGTGAGAGTGAATTAGTGATTCAATGAATAAATGGATTAATGCATGATATTCCAATCTATGCTGGTCCAATACTATGCTTTCAGTCTATTAGAGAACGCAGATAAGTAAATAATGTATCAGTTATCTCATAGTTTCTATGGGTAAGGAATTTAGAGGAAGCTTAACTGGGTGGTTCTGGCTTAAGGTCTCTCAGGAGGTGGCAATTAAGGTGTTGGCTGGGGCTGTAATCATCTGAAGGCTTGACTGGAGCTAGAGGATACACTTCCAATGTGGCTCCCTCATGTAGCTGTTGGTAGAAAGCCCCATTTCCCTGCCAGCTATTGGGAGGAGGCCTCAATTCCTTGACATATGGACATCTCCATATAGCTGCTTGAGTATCCTTCCAACATGCCCACTGACTTCTCCCAAAGGGAGTGATCTAGGAGAAAGCAAGGAGGAGGCCACAGTGCCTTTTATGATTTAGTCTCAGATGTCACACACTGTCACTTCTGCCTTAATCTATTCTTTAGAAATAAGTCACTAATTCCAGCCCACACACAATGATTAGGCTACACCTTTTGAAGAAAGTGTCAAAGGATTTTGGGGCATATTTTAAACCACCAAAAGTAATAATCACCATGAAGTGATTGTAATCATTACAACAAAGGCTGTAGTAAAGAGATGTCCAAAGTGATCTAGATGTGAATGGAATGCCTCTGGAGAAGAATAAGGAGTGAATTAAGGGTTTTGAAATCTGGGTTGAAATCCTGGCTAGCTCTATTAGAAGCTAAACTTGTGAACTTAGGGGAATTATTTTCATTCTTTGGGTCACACTTTTGACAGCTGAAGAAGTATGGAATTGAACTTGACTATAACGATAATAATGATAAAACAAAGTAACCTTTATCAAGTACGTACTATATCACCAAGATTCTAAATGCAGTACATGAAGTGCCACTTTCAACCCTCATGGTAGCTCCTGCTGTTTTGTTTCACAGATGAGGAAACGAGGCATGGGGAGACTGAGTGACTTGTCCAAGGCCACCCACAGGTGGAGACCAAATTCAGACTCTGGCAGTTTCAATTTCAACTTATACTCTGGGCTTTAAACCTTGCTCCTCAATTTGTTTTTTGTGACCCAGTAGCATCAGCATCACCTGGGAGCTTGTTGGAAAAGCAGAATCTCAGGCCACATTCCAGATCTCCTGAAGCAGAATCTGTACTTTACCAGTAGCCCCAGCTGATTCACATGCACATTAGAATTTGAGAAGCACTTTTCTAAAGGTCTGTGCTATTAATGTCTGTAAAGACACTTCCAATCATAAATATAATTCTAAATTCTATACATTTAATAAGCATGGGAAAGATATGTATGCAAGAGGAAATTAAACTTTTGATTTATTACTATAGTGAGATTGTTGGCGTTTCCATATCATTCCTTTCCTGACAATTTTCAACAAAATTAAGAACCATTCAGAATTTACGAAGAGGGAACTATTTGATATTGTACTTTTAATAATTATAATAATAAATAATTAATACAGGGGTTTGGGAAAGTTCTCTGCACACCCAGGAGAGAATGAAATGTATTAAGCCCACTGAGTATCAACATCTGCAAGCGGCAAGTCAATTTTGCTAATCAATATTGAACAGAATCATTCAGGAATTGAGGAAAATGTCATAGCTTTGGATGCACAGAAGTAACTATGTGGAAGGTAATGATACTCCCACATCTCTCATTAATAGTCATATTTCTCCTAATCTAATATGGATAAGACATAAGACGTGCTGTCTAGACAGGCTTTGCTAGTGGTTCTCCACCTGCTGCGCATTACAATCATGTGGGAAGTTCCTAAATGCACCCATGCTTGGGCCTGTCCCCAAGAGATTCTGACTTACTTGGTCTTCAGTGAGGTTCTGTTACTAGAACTTTTTAAAAAGCTGCCCATTTGGTCTAATTTGCAACCCGCGTTGAGAACCATTGACCTAGAGAATTACTGTGAGCTATGATTTGTGTTGGTACTTCCCTACTGCTCAGTTAGTGCTGGTTGAATGGGTGTAAGTGGAGATAAAATGAAAAGTTACATAATCACCTTTATCTGTTGTCCTAGTAGATTTACTCATTAGGTCCTTTGGTTCCAAGCACCCTAACTGCATGTAAGTTAAATAAAAGGAGGGATGATTTGCCGGAAGGACATGGGATAGTCCACAAAGTTGATGACAGTGCTATCCAACATAAATGCGAACCACCATCTAATTTTAAATTTCTAGTAGCCAAGTTAAAAAAAAAAAAGTAAAAACAAACAGGTAAGATTTTAATTTTGATAATATATTTTATTTAACTGATGAAAGGAAAAACTCGTTTTTTTCTGTACTCTGCTCAATACTTCTGATATCTGATGTGTGTGGGTTTTTCCCACACCAAGCAATTCTCCAACACGCTAACTACTGGGAGTTAGTGCAAACCCCACAGGTTAAGGGCTCAGTCCCACAAGACTGCCGTGTCTCCCTCTCCCCAACTTCAGACACCAGTCTCAACTCCAAGTTGTTACCTGTGCTTCTAACTAACCAGCTATAAATCAGAGATTCCCAGGCCTCCCTCCTCAGGTTTGATAATTTGCTAGAGGGGCTCACAGAACTCAGGAAAACAGTTTACTAGATTACAAGTTTATTATAAAGGCATACAACTCAGGAACAGCCAGATGGAAGAGATGCATAGGGTAAGGGTTGGGTAAGGGGTGTGGAACTTCCATGCCTTCTCCAGATGTACCACTCTCCCAGTAGCATCCTGTGTTCAGCAATCCAGATGCTCTTGAAACCCTGTAGTTCAGGGATTTCCCATGAAGGCTTCATTACATAGGCATGATTGATTAAATCATTGGCCATTGGTGATTGAACTCAATCTCCAGCCCCTCTCCCCTCCCAGGGGATGGGGGCCTTGGGAGACTGAAATTTCCAACCCCCTAATTACATGGTTGTTTCCCCTGGAAATCAGCTCCTATTGAAGGCTATCCAGGAGTCACCTCATTAACTTAAATTGAGGTGTGGTTGAAAGGGGCGTATTATGAATAACAAAAGACAGGCTTTTAGCCTTTATTGCTCTTATGACTTAGGAAATTCCAAAGGTTTTAGGAGCTCTGTGCCAGGAATGGAGATGAAAACCAAATATATATATTTCTTATTACAAGCCATAATATCACAACCAAATGTTTCCAAAATATTATTTCAACATGTAATCAATATAATAAATTATTAAGAAGTTATTTACATTTTTTTTTTCACATTCCAGAAAGTTGGAATAAGAAAGGGTAGAATTACAGAGAAGGGGCAAAGATGCATTACCAAGTTGGCCACCCCTACAGGTATCTCACGTTTGACCCTATGGAATCTTCTGAAGAGTCTTATTTAAATATGTCTGAGAACTGTATACCTGTGGATAAAAGGAGAAAAGTTTTATCCATCAGTCTTTGGACAAGGGTGGCCCCATTGCATTAACTGCTCCTCACGTCTGAGTTGCCCATGCCTGTGGGCCAAGCAGGTTCCACTGGGGTCTGTTACAGCAATATCTTGAGGCTGCACCACATGCTTTGGGCAGGAAGTGAGTAGGGATGTGGTGCAGGCCCAAGACTAGCGTGCTATCAGGGCACACCTGTGGGCAGCTAGTCAGAGCTGAGAGGAAATAGTTGCTGCAGCAGTGGTTAGAGTAGGGGTAGGACTGAGAGGCTCTGAGTGGCACAAGAGATGTCCCATACTAGGTAATGCCAATTCTCTGAGAAGTTAATGTGTTGTTTAAAAAATAAATTTTGTGAATTTAAAATTGTGGCCATGTGTTGCATGACTTGTCACAACTTCTAATATATCATACTACAGCGTATTGTGAGATTTTCAAGAGTGAACTATAACATGCAACATTGAAAATGTTTATTTGTCCAAGGAAAACTTTTGGTGAGGTGTATTTTGCAAGACTAGTGTATCATGTATCACATTTTATGAAGAAATGCTATACATCTTTGCTACTCAAAGTGTGTTCCATGGACCAGCAGGCTTAACATACATTTATATACATTATCTAAATGCCAGTGGGAACATACAAGGGAGATAGAGAATTTAGCAACATAAGGGCCGTACCTGGGAGCTGATTAGAAAGCAGAATCTCAGGCTCACCTCAGACCCACTGAGTGAAATTTGTATTTTGACAAGATCCCCAGCGATTCATCTGCACACTAAAGTTTCAAAAGCACTGCCTTGCACATGATTTACTCAATTAAATTGTTTGTTTAAGATGCTGTTGTGATCATTATTTCACTGTATAAAATAGGTGTATTTCTAGAACGTGAATGATAACCCAGATATTCAATCGAATGCACCATGGGCGATCTCACTATTTAGAACAATATTTCTCAAATTATTTATCAGACATTGGACTTCATTGTTCAATTGCAGACTCCTGGGGCCCGCCTCATACTTAGCAAAATCATAATTTCTAAGGCTGGGTTGCAGGAGCCTGAATTTTAAAAAGCTACCTACATCATTCTTACACTCATTAAAGTTTGAGAACCACAATTCAAAAGGATGCAATTGTGAAATCTATGCATAAAGCCTCCTGTTATAGGTTGAATACAACACTATAAATATCATCCCGAAGATCTTGTACGTAAATGTGGAATTTTAGTTTTTTCATGCTTCATTTACACATTTGTTTACTTATATAATCCTTTTGAATGCCTGCTATATGCAACACTCTGCCTAGATCCTGGGAAATTCATGATAAAATAAGATACTATCTCTTGTCTAAAAATGCTCCATCTGGTTGACAGAAAGTCGATTATCATTCAGCTGGATGAGGGTCAAGTTAGTAATGTAAAATAGGTTCTGAGAGCCAAGAAGAGCACATCCCCAGTGACGACTGTGGAAGGGTCTTTTATGGAGGACAGAGACCAGATCTGTTTTTAAAATGATACATGCAAAGTAGTTAGGTCTGATCACCTCAATAAACTCTGCCACATTATATTTCCTAGACACAATTTTTTAATGATTCATTGAGAATATGAATATGAATATGAAAATAATGACCAAATCATTATTTTTCAGGCCATTAAATATAGGCATTTTCTTTCTCTTTCCAAACAAATGTCTGGCCCTTAAGCTAATGAATTCTCTATTTCCCTTATATGTTCTCAGTGGCATTTAGGCAATGTATATAAATGCACAAGTTGTCCAACTGACTCCAACAAGAATATGTTCCTATGATATGCAGTACAGCACTTCTATCTTAATGGAGGATAAGCCATTGATTTGACCTGATTGTTTTTTTCCTGGGGTGGGAATATGTGTAGCTTGCTCATAATTGTCCACTTAGTACATCAAAAAGAAACTTACGTGAATGAACTTTGTTATACTAGACTTTGAGTGATGGAAGCATCTTTTTTACCAAGAAAAGGTCACTTATGTGGTAATTGCTAGAGGATCAAGAAGCTGAGCATCCAGAAACACTGTGGGGCATCATTTTCACATCTCAGTTCTGCACGGGCATCATTCAGGAGG